AATTTTCAAAACTTTATAATGAAAAGGCTATTCAGGCGGATCTAGGGACTGCGGTAGTAATAGATGGCAAGCAAGTTCACAAAAATAATATAAAATGAACATTTACTTGCAGGGTTGTCCTTGTGCCGTTAGTGGCAGCGAGAATCGTGGATTACTCAACTGCTCTATTTATTCCGATACCATCAGGCGAAACCGCAATTTTTCAGAATTTCATTTATTTGAAACACACTATAAACTTTACAGTCATAGAAGAAGGATTTGTGGACAACATAAATATAATAGCAGCTCTTAAAAATGAAAAACAAAAAGAACTACTACAACAGGACCTGGACGAGATGGACGACTTAGTTCGCATGCTCAGGAGACCCGGTAGAACTCGACGTGCCATCGATTTCCTGGGGTCTGCTCCTAAATTTGTGGCTGGAGTCCCCGACCATCAAGACTTACAAATTTTGACAGCTACCGAAAATGAAATTATAAGGGCTGGAAATAGACAAATAGAAATAAACAAAGAAATTCAAGAAAAAATTGATGAAATAACAGACAGAATTAACAATATCAATACTAGAAATGCAATTGATTATGAAGTGGTCACTCTACTCATGGCATGAAGAAATATAATAGTTATTGATAATTTAAAAAACATGTTGTATGGTGTAGCCTTAGCAAAATATAATATTGTAAACCCACTAATTTTAAATACAGAAGAAATCAGTTTGATAGAATTTAAGGAAAACACACTTGTTCCCATGTCCGATATTATTACAATTTCAGATGTAAAAATATATTACCAAAACGATGCACTGATTTATCTTGTAAAAATTCCTCAAATAACAAAAATTTGCAAATTATATCAAATAAGCCCTGTGGCTCAAAATAACAAAATGTTGTATTTAAAGAATAATTTAACTGCTAATTGTAAGGGAAACCAATATCCATTAGAAAATTTCAGAAAATCTGTAGGATATAAGTATTGTAGTATTAATATGCAAGATGTTTGCCTTTTACAACTTCTAAACAACCATACAGCAAATTGTCCCACTACGGCGGCGGACCACTTAGAAGAGATTGAAGTAATTAGAGACGGATTAATCATCGCACGCAGCAGTAGGCTAGACATCGAAGAAAATGGAGAATTGATTAGAGCTAATGCTGTTAAGAGCTGTTAATTACATTTGAAAAATCTCTTACGATAAATGGAGAGAAATTCAAAGCAAATCATCAGATCGTTATTATTGAGCTCCTAGCTCCTAAGAAAACTATTTTAAATGAGACAAGTTAACAAAAACACCTATCATTGCCATTCCTTCATAAACTGCATATTCAAAATAACGAGCGAATGGAAGAGATAAAAGTCGTTCTTGAAAATAGCAAATGGATGTGGTATGGCGTAATTGCAAAACTCACAGCAATCATAATAGTAATATTGTATATGAAGTTAAAGCCCAGAATTATCAAAATAAAAACTGACACTGACCAGCCTCAACATAGTTTGTCAACGATGAACATTGCCAAAAGCAGAGAAGATATTAGAGCCCGCTTGGAAGCAATTGTGGCTGAGGGGGAGGGTAGTTAACATATGTAGTGGAATGTGCCACTTGCAGGGTTCGGATTTGCCTCATTTTGGCCCCTCGCTCGCTCGTTAGTTTGCTCTGAGTTAGCGCAACTCACGAGGAACACACGAGGCTGTTTGCAAATGAGCACTCGTTAGGTACGAGCGCACGCGACGAGTAGCCAGCGAGCGAGTAAGCAAACGAGGGCGGCGCAAGAGTAGAGCGGCAAGCAAACGAGGGCCTCATTAGGTCTGCCCTCGCGAGAGGGGCGTTGCGAGCGAGGCACTCATTTGCAGCAGCAGACGTGCGAGGCGAGTAAACGAGCGAGGCAAATGAGGCAAGCAGATTAGACAGGCAAACGGGTTGTTTGGTCAGCAAAAATGTATGGGATAAAAATTGCATCAACTAAGAATTTAGAGCAAACGATTGTATGCACACATGTAGATATGTATATACATACATATATACACATATGTATGTATTTATTTATGTATATATTTTCATGCACAGAAGAATAGATGCGTGCTATTTTTGCCAGTTTTATCTACTAGGTAGGCTCATATGTGCATACATATATATTACTATGTACTTATACGCAAACATTTTTTTCGCTGTATCGATTTTGCTTCTTTGAGAGTTTTTATTACTTTTTTGCAATCAATTTTCTTACATAATTCATGTATTTTTTATGATATTTTTTGTTTCGGTTAAAATACAGAAGTGAACAAATAAATGGTTTTTTTTTTTTTGAAGTATGTATCTGAATTATGCGGGTTTTGAAAATGCTGGAACGCATCTCCTGTTCTTGTATGAAATTAAAGAACTTTTTTATGCGGCTTTCTGAAGAACGCATCTACCGCATAAAAAAGACCTAAGTGTACATGAGAGACAGACCATACAAGTTTCATACTTTGTAAAAAAATTTGAAAATTTCAACAAAGTTTTAAACTTTTTAATCACACCCACCAAACAATTTGTGTTGCCGGCAATAAGAAAACGTGTCGCCCTCGGAAACAAATTTATTGCCGGTAACATTGCCATCGAATCGATTTCCTATTACCGGTCGCTCTAAAACGTCCGCCGAAGGCAACACGCCTGGGCGAGTCGTTTTCTTATTACCTGAATGAGTCCTTTTCTTATCGCTTCAGGCGATATTTGGAATAATTTTATTCTTTTTAATACTTCATTTATTTTTTTTTGTATACCAAATCGCAACTTACAATCGGAAATAATTAATTTTCTCGCTGTAAGGCTTCCTATTTCTTCAATCTTGTTCTTGGGCATAATTTAGATGCTTTTGGCCAATACTATTGACGCCATATTCATAAGATTCGGAATTTTTGAGAACTTTTTTATTCAAAATTGACATGAACGGAGTGATGTTGCCGATTTGTCACCACAGCAATAAATCGGTGAGTCGCCAATTTGTTGCCATTGACGATTGTTGCCTATTTCTCATATTTTGCATGGTGGGCATTTATATGTAGAGCAATGCTTGGTGTGTAGTTTTATAGCATAAATATATCATTCTCACTCGAAAAATATCATAATTGTGTTTTTTTTTAATAATTTTGGAAACATTTCAAGTAGAATGTTCATATTTTTCCATTTTGGTGCCTATGTCTGCATACATACTAGGTAGCATCCATGGGCGGAGGGTAGGGAAAATCCGGGAAACGCAAACGAGCGAGCATATAAAGCGGGTAAACCAAACGGGGGCGATGTGAAGTAGGTAAAAGCTGAGTGGACAAAGGGGGAAAAACGAGACATCAAAGGCAAACAATTTACTCAGGCAGGCAAACGAAGTAACGTAATGGTAAGTACATATATAAGAGAGTGTGGTTTGGGGTAACATTTATAAGTCTTTGCTAATAATTCGTCGACGAAACAAGTGTATATTTAAAAATGGAAAACCTAGTAAATTTTAACGCGGATACAAATATTTCAATCTGTTTACTGTGCAAAAAATCACTAAAAGGAAAAAGTGTTTATAATATTAAAAGGCATTATGCAACTATGCATAAAGGAGTTGCTGTCAGCGAGAATACAAATTCCCGCTCGAGTAGAGGGGCAAAAAAAGTCGCAGAAATAAACATCGACAAAAATGAATTTTTGAATGCATGTGTAGGGATGGTAACAGTGAAAAGTATCCCATTTCGTATCTTTGACGACGAAAAGTACTTTAAGAAACTCATACACCCTTACGAAAAAATGTTCGACCTTAAAATAAATTCTAAAAATATTGTGGACAAAATTGGGTTTGCGGCAGGACAAACAAAAAGTATTATAGCTGAAAATTTAAAAAAGAGGCTTATTTGCCTTAAAATGGATGTGGCGACAAGACAAAATCGCCATATATTAGGCATTAATGCGCAATACATCGATGGATATAAAATAATTATTCATACTTTGGGAATGGTGGAATTAAGAAGCAGACACACCGGAGAAAACTTAAAGCAAGAAATCCTTAATTGCTTGGACCAATTTAAAATCGAAATTCGCCAGATTTATTCCAGCACCACTGATAATGGAGCCAATGTAATAAAAACATCGAAGTTGCTTCAAATATCCCAAGGTCAAGTTCAGGTAAGACATGTTTAGAAGTCTTTAGAAATTTACAGTTTAGGAATCATTAAAAAGATTTAATATACATATAATTAATACTGATAAAAAATTTTCTTCCCTCAGAACAATCCAAATGATGACTCCGATTCCAATGACGTAGATGATGATGGGTATGATGAAGTGCACAATACCCTCAAATCAACTATGGATGTGGTTAGATGTGCAGCACACACCCTCCAGTTAGCAGCATACGATGTCATTAAAACAATGCAAACTAACATTGAAAGCTGTAGAAAAGCCGTTAAATCTCTCAGATGCATTCTCCGCGGTACGAGCAACGTGCCGATATTGGATAATGCAACACGTTGGAACTCAACATATATGATGCTTAATTCCTTACTTAACGTAAAGAGCTATATTGAGGAAAATGACACAAATATGCCAGATGTTGACTGGGGCTTTGTCAACGCATTTTTACAGACATTCAAACCACTTGTGGATTGTACTACTAAATTGCAAGCAGAACAGTATGTTATTGGGGATTTTTATAGAGACTGGCTAACTTGCGAACTGGAACTACAGGAACTAATTTCAAGCCAATACGATTACGCTTCGACTTTACTAAGAACGGTAAAACAGAGGAAAGCCGTGCTTTTGCAAAATGAAGCATTTTTATCAGCGATTTATGTCGACCCTAGGTTCAATTTTTTACATTCGCCATATTTGAACCAAACTCAAAAATACAAAGCAGTGGTAAGTGCCCTAAAAACGTGTATATTTAAGATTCATATTAATATTACTATGCCTATGTACATATGTATTAGAGCTCGGGCAATTCGGTTAATCGATTAACCGAATTATTCGAATCTGACTGAAGTCGACTACTGTTAATCGGTTAGCAATATTCGAGTAGTCGAAAGCTGTCGACTATTCGGATAACCGTTCACTTTAGATTATTCGGCTAACCGTTCATTTTCGGTTAATCGAATATTTTAAGTTCGAGTTTTTTTTTTGCATTTACAGATACATATACATATATGAAAAGTCATGTTACATTCGTAGTACATATATAAGATTGCATGTGCAAAATTAAGGCAAACTTTTTTTGCAAGAATGTGCGCTAATTATTGAAATGTTATTGCGAAATATTTTAGGGAGAATGGCTAAAGCAATACCTACCTCTCATTTTCGCGAGCTTTTGTTATGGATTTTTGTTAAATGTTTGTTCAGTGAGGATGTGAATGATTGTAGCACAAAACTGCACCACATATGGAACATGTTACTTCCTTTTCGTCCTCTGATTTTTCGAAAAAATCCCAAACCCAGCTCCTTTTGCGTCCGCTCATTTTTGTATCTGAATATACATACATATGTGTGCATGTATATATTTAAAAAAAAAAAATTCATTTGTCAAAGAAGTTTCAATGAAAGTTCGGTTACTGAAATTCGATTTGCTACAATGCTCGAGTAGTCGAAGCAAAGCAACTATTCGAATAATCGAAGGCGGGCGACTATTCGAATACCATTAACCGACTAATAAGCACGCGAACGGTTACGAATCGAATAATCGGTTAACCGATTAGTCGAATAGTCGGATAATTTTACGAGCCCTAATATGTATGTATATGCGAAGGACAATATTAGCTACATACTTTGCATTTTATTCATTATTTTCAGGAACACCTTCTTAATACATTCGAAGCTATTCAAGAATTAGCTGGAAATCCACCCAACAACGATGAAGCGGGTGAAATTGAAGCACCAGCAACAAGCCAGAGCAGACCTTTTTTCAGATTGAATAACCAACTTGACAGATTACTAAGCAGTAACGCAGCAGTCACATTACAAATAAATTTAAAGCAAAAATTAGAAAATCTTGCTTATACGCAAAGGGTCCCATTTGAAGCTGATATCCTTGAATATTGGAAAGCTCGTTCTATAAATGATAACGACATTGGACAGTTAGTACAAGTCGTACTCGCTGTTCCTTCAACACAAGTTTCAGTTGAAAGGGCATTTAGTGCTCTAGGCACAATTTTAACGAAATTGCGAACACGACTCTCGAAAGAAACTTTAAACAATTTATTAATAGTTAAATTAAATAATGATATTCTAGACAAAGTATCATATATAGACTAAACTTATAATATGTGCACATTTAAACAATTAAATAAATTAGAAACTAAGTAATTCGGCTAAGTAACTATGTTACATATGTATAAATGAGAATATAATATTTATAAAAATCATTTTTTGTCTTTTATTTCATAAATGAGTAGGACATTAACATTTTCAAATTAATAATCCTGGTTTAGTCCCCATACATATGTGTATATGTAGTATAATACAAACTACTATTTGGGGTGTTAAACAGTATTTGATAATTAAGGCTGGTCCATACAGAACTTTCGCTTTGACTGTGTAGTTAGCGTTGGTTTGATAGAACGCAGCTTGGCAGATACTACTTTGGCCACTAAATTAACATATTAACGAAAGATAAATTAATACTTCATATCAATAATTGCATGAACAATTATATTTCTTGCCCTCATTTGATTAAAAGGAAAAAACATTTCATATAATTTTATTTATTTGCAACAGCTGGCGACCGACGCACGCGCTTTGTGTTGGCCTTAGCGTTGCCAAATTTTGGTTATGTGGACGGCTGCTTTGAAATTCGACGCCAACGCAACGCCAAAGTTGTATGCGAACCGGCCTCTATTCTTTGTTTACGCAAATTTTCCCATGTCTACATATCCATATATACATGCATACATATGTATGTACACATGTCCTTGAACAACAGGCCACAAATAAATTTTTTCACCAAGGACTATATGTCATTCAGGTATACAGCATAACTGCTACAAGTAGAAAACTATTTTGGGGGTGTTAGCAAGTGCTTACTTGTTTTTTGTTTCTGCGGCACAAACGATTATAATATCTTCGTTACTTACTTTTCTCTGTAAAGACAAAATACATGCATATGTACATACATATATAAATGCATATATACATAAATACGTACATACAAACATATATAAATATGCATGTTATGTGTGTACACATGTATGAATATAACTCAAAAAAAATAATTCATTCCATAATCTATGCTTATGTATGTAATCAATTTTATTTGTTGTTTTAAATGCTGCCCTAATATAATACTTCACATATATATATGCATATGTACATGCAATTATTAACATACTTTCGTACATAATCTATTGACATACATACATTCCCACATTTTTATGCACAAAAATGCATGTGTTGTATAGTACACTCGGAGCGCTCGCTCGTCGCTCACTCCCCTTTCCAGCAGAGTGAGTATGCAGGCAGCTACTCGCCTCGCACTGCGAGCGAGGCAACACCCAACAGCCTCGCTCATTTAATAGGAGCGCGAGGAAACAAGCAGTGCTCGCTCGTTTGGCGAGCGAGCCAAACTTCTCGTGCCTCGCCTCATTGCTGCTACGAGTACGAGCTGCGAGTGCCTCGTTGTCTGCGAGGCATTGAGTAGGAGTTTGCTCACTCGCTCGCTCGAACTCCGAGTTTTTGCCCACCCTGGCCACTTGACACCAGCAACAATAGCAGCAGCCAAGAATGATAGAATACAAGATTGCGCCAATCGAGCTGAGAGTAACTGGCCGTGACGTCAAAATATACCCGAATGAGAGAGCAAGACGAACTCGACAAGAAAAAGAGGAAGCATCGAACAAAAGGCAGTGTTTCCAGGTTTTGCATTTGAAAAAGCACCAAATTTTTATTGGTGTATTTTATTGACTTTATATGAATACATAATTTTATTGTAAGGATGCCGATTCAAATTAATAAAAATCAATGTTTCTTGCACAACGGTCGATTTCTTCTGGCATGATTGAAGGTGCTGCACATATTTCGTTGTCGTTTATGATTGTCAGTGTGCCATGATTTTGTTTAAATTTTTGTAAAATTGCTTACCACACTTACGATTGCTATAAATTTTGCTTCCATTTTTTAAGATTTTCTAATTTGATGTCTTCAAACTAAAAACAAAAGCACCAAAAACGCCCCAAGCACAAAACTCAAAAATTTTCGCGTTTTGAATACCCACCAAATTTGGTGCGAAAAGCATGAAGTTGGCAACAGTGAATGTAAACAAAAGTATTTTATGACGTCAGCGATTGGGTGGATGCTGTCAAATCGACGAAGAGAGGATTAGCGGTCCGCGAATGGCGCGACCTTTATTTTCTGGATCGTGAGCAGCAGCAGCAAATGTACAAACGTGGGAACGAATGCATGTACGTGACTAAATGTGAATACAAATGCAGCGTCAA